CACGTTACCTGGGCCATGCATGTGTCCACTGACTTGGTCACTACCCTCATACTATACCACTGCCATACCTGCCCAAGGGTTTGGGGGAGGATTGTTGGGAGGGGGTTTCTGGAAACACATCCTTAGCTGAGGATTCCTGTGTGAGTACTTGCTGAGACCCAGGATCCCTTTCTGTTCAGGAAGAAGTATGTGACCATTGCCGAGAGAAGGGGACTTGGTTGCCACATCTTAGCATGTGATCCTCCTGCAGGGCCCTTGCTGGGGAACCCTGAGCCTCCTCGGCATATATTGGAAGCATGTTAAGCTTTTAAAGGTCAAAAAGCTTTGCCAAATTGCTCACTTGCAGCAACTTAGAGGAGAGGCCGTGAAGTTTAGCATATGTAGTTTCTAGAGGTGTGTTTGGCACATTGGACAGTTTGAAAGTATGTCTGGCTGTGAATAAGCTGCTGGTTTCTATCCCATATGCATCCAAGTGCATTATGGGGTTGGAGTCTGCACCACACTCCGATAAGCATGTTTTAACATTTTAAAGTCTGGATTTTGCCTTTTCTGGATGCTTTCAAAATGTTAAGGGCCCCCAAGTCTACCCTCAGTAGTAGTTGTGGAATTTCCCAATGAGGAGTTGCATCATTTAAAAAACATAGATACATAAATTAACTACAGATCATAGAAAATACACATGAAGTACACACAATCACAAGACACATTAGAATGACAGCTTCATCCCCCCTGCACCTGAAAATTGCTGTCACTGAGACTGTACCAAATTTGTTTTTGTTTTTTTTTTCAAATTGCACTGATTTTCTAACCATTCCCCCCAACCACACACACACAGTATCTTTTCACTGGTAAACATCTTTCTTCTTTATCATGTGTATCCATATCCCTATTTTTAATGACCACACACTATCATATTATTTAGAAGTACTATGATTCATTTGACAAATCTTTAAATATACATTTTTTGGGGGGTTTTGTTTAATGTAAGCAGTGCTTTGGTGAATATCATTGTACATTTGTCTTTTCATATTCCTTCAATTATTTTTTAAAAATAAGTTTCTGCTGGTCATGGTGGTGCATGCCTGTAATCCCAGTGGCTTGAGAGGCTGGGCTTGGAGGAACCCAAGTTCAAAGCCAGCCTCAGGTATTTAACTAGGCCCTAAGCAACGTAGGCCCTGTCTCAAAAATAGAAAGGGCTGGGATGTGGCTCAAGGGTTAAACACCCTGGGTTCAATCCTCAGTACCCAAAACAAACAAATAAATAAACCAAAATGAGTTCCTAAATGTGGAGCTGATAATTGAAAGGTCGGTAGCACGGAAACCTTTGTTATTTGCTACAAATATTCATAGAAATGGTATTTGTAGCCGTTTAGCCTTCCATTAATTTCCCATTCCTCACTCTTCCCTTCCCACCCACTCACCCAACCACTCACCCACTCATTTATCTACCCATCCATCCTCCCACTCATCCATTTACTCACCCATCTGTCCAATCATCCAATCATCTATCCATGCATCCACACTTCCTTTCCCTCCCTCCCTCCCTCCCTTCCTTCCTTCCTTTCTTCCTTCCATCATACTGCACTGCATACCTGCTATGAGTTGGTCCTAGGGTTGAAGATGGCGGACTGCAGTGACATGTGGTCTTCATTCTGCAAACTCAGAATTAGGAGGCAGAAGCCAGGAAACCACCCCTGAGGGTGAGAAGCACCAGAACTGAGGTTCTACAGGCAGGGGAGGCTCAGATGGAGAGTAGCTTGGGCAAAGACTTCCAGTGGTCTCTGGGCTGTGGGTCAGGTGAGAGTTGGGATCTGGACACAGTGGATTCATTTGTATCCAGGCCAGGGTATGGACAGGACGCAAGATAGTCAGATCTCTGGACAACATCCTGATCCAGCACCATGGGCCAGCCCTGGCCTTGCTAGCTTGGGCTCCTTTCTGGTCACTTGCCTGAAAAGAACTGGGGTATCCACCCAAACACTCATGTCCTTAGTCTCCCAGCTCAGAAACCAGTCTAGGGTACTGAGGGAGTGTGTGAGAGAAAATTGGCGAGAGACAGAGAAATGGAAGAAGAAGGAAAAGGAGCCTGCTCTGTTTGCAGAACATGCAGAACACTACACCCAGGTATTCTGTGGTTTTAAAGAAATGCAGTTTAAAGTACCCAGGGGAGGCCAGGCATTAGGGAGGGTGGCAGAGTAAGAACACAGGCTTAATGCTGACGGGAGGGTGGAAGCCAGCCTTACCTCTTTCCAGATGCTCAACTTGAACAAAGTGTCCCGTTTCCTTGTCTGAAGGACAGAGCTTACTGTACTTCTGGTCTGTGGAGATGGGTAGAGAGAATAAGGGGTGAATGAAGGGTTCTTGGGACAGTGCCCAGCCTGGCCCTAGGTGCCCACTAGAGGTGATAGCTGCTATTTTTCTCTCCCATGGAGCCTGGGCACAGGGCTTTCTGCACCCCCGGAACCCAGCATACCTCTAAGGCTTAAGTGAGAAGCCAGTTCCTCTTGGCAGGGGTGAGGGCCCAAATGTGAGGGGGTTTAAAATCTATGCCAGCGGCTTTGGTAAGACCTTCCAGAGGTATCTTCTGGATCAGGATAGAAAATTGTTTTTCTTTTTATGGACAGAGGAGTCCAATGCCTTTTAATGCCATTAGCGCTGAGAGAGGGGAAGGGATGGGGTTTTGTCTGAAAGGATACAGACACTGGAAAAGGAGGCCCAGCCTTTGGGCTGAGAGAGTGGGCAGAGTTGACCTGAGCTCAAGTCCACAGCCTCAGGCCTTCATCCATTGTGAGCCAGAGGACAACAAAGTTTCTTCTGAAGGGAAACCAGGCTCCCAAGGCCGGGCTCTCCCAGCCTCCCTGTTCAAAGCCAAAATTTGTGGCTTCTTCATCTACCCAGGATGCAGTTTAGGGGCACCTGTGTCGTCATTCAGAGGTGACTGAATGCTACCTGGCAGACCCACCTGGGTGTGCAGAAAAGTCTGCTGTGATTGATACCAAGGACCAAGCCTCCCAGTCTGGAGATCTAAATCCCCCAGAAAAAGGTTTTAACCCACACCAGCCTTGGCCCAGGCCCAGATGGCGGCACAGCAGAGTATAAGCCCCGTATCCTGGGGGATGCAGTTGGACTTTTTTGGTCCCCCCCACCCCCAATCCTGGGGAGCTCTGGGATATGTACTGTGGCCCAGTTTGTGACTGCAGACATGTGGATGTGGGCAGGGATGGATGCACAGGCGATACTGGGTGGTTCAAGGAGAGTGCCAGAATTGTTCGTTTTCACCTGGATGACCTTCAGAAAACCGGTCAAGAGGGAGAACAAAATTGCCAAAGTTACTTTGATAAAGATCAAATAATAATGGCCTTTTTCATGGATGCACATGTGTGATGTGACAATTTGGAGCGGGCTTGGGGTGGTAGCAACTCCCACCATGCCCTGGGGCCTTTGAGGCTGATAGCTTTGCAGAGGAGAGAGGTCTACAGGAGGTGTGGGACAACGAGGACACTGGCCCAAGCCAGTTGGAGGGTATGCAGTGTCTGTTTGATTATTTATGGCATTTAAAAAATATTTTACCACTGTGAGTTGAGATTTTTGTTTTAAATGAGGGAGGAATTGTAAAATCATTTCTCAAAGATCTGTTCCTTCCGAGAGTCCTTATTCTGTGGTTTTAAAGAAATGCAGCTTAAAAAAACCAGGGCTGAGATGACTGCTGCAGATGCACCAGGGATGCAGTGGCCAGGATTCACCCGCCAGGGAACGGATGCCTGGGGCAGCTGTGACCTCCCTACAGCCCCTGTGGGGCGCTGCCCTGCTTCTCCCAGAGAAGGCAGGAAACAAAACTGGGTTGTTACCCGAGTTAGGAACAAAAACTCAAAAGAAGCATTTCTTAAATAGACAGAAAACAGCCACTATTTTAAGAATTACTTATTTATATTCTCTGGACCCTGGAAACGGGAGGCTACAGTACTGTTTGGGTCTTTAATTTTGCATTTGCTTCCCAGGCAGCTCTGTACATTCTGGAGCCAGTGAGCACCCAGGTCCTCTGCCACTTACCAGTCCTGCAGAGGCCTCCAAGAATCTCCTTTAAAAACAGTCAAGGAAGCCACTCTTGAAGTTTCAGAGTGATGTGCGTCCTTCCTGGGGTCTCTGACACACTTTCCCTTGTCGTGTTGTTTCCATAGATTCTATTTTGGGAAGCCAAGCATTCCAGGGGTGGTTATTGCATTTCAAGGGAGCAGTGCTGATGTCTCTGACCATGTTCTGGTGACAGTCCTGGTTAGATGGAGGGGCCAGGAACAGGTACAGCTCTCTGTCCCATCCAACCACTTCTTCCCCACTTCCCCAGGACCTCTGCCAGCTCGGGGATGTGCCAGCTCCTCTGCACTTCCCTTGGCATCCTGCTCCAATGGCCCATGTCACCTCTAAATTTAGAATTAGATGGCCAGGCTGCCGGGTTGGCATAGCCCATGCCCTAGCGCCACTGGCTCGTGGGGTCAGTATGTGGAAGATGATCTGTGTTCCCAGCACAGAGGCACTGAACTCACGTCTCATTTCCATATTCAGAGTCCAGAATTCCTCTTGGATTAGAAGTGTCTTCCCAGAAAGAAAGGAAAAAAAAAAAAAAAAAAGGAGGTTGATGGCTGTGTTCCAGTGGAATGATGTTCACAATCTATAGTGACTTTTGCTCTTTAAGCAGATCCAAAGCACAGGGTATTATGAGATCCCATTTTTGTAAGGAGCCAGAGAGGGAGCTGCATCTGTGCTGAACGGACCCGGAGGGTGGGATACCGGGGCCCATGGCGGGGGGATCTCTGGATCATGGAACTGTGGTGGGCGTTAAGCCTTGCTCCTCTACTTACGTGGATTTTCTCATTTTCCCTGATGACTTTGATTTCAAGAAGGCTGTGTTCTGGCAAGTGGAAGCAGGAGTTTATGCATTGAGAGAGGCAGGTATAACTCATGGTGCCACCTGCAGCCCCAATCAGTGTTGCTTTGTTTTTCAGTGACATCTTTGATGCCATGTTCCCTGTCACTCACATCGCCGGGGAGACAGTCATACAGCAAGGTATGTGCTGCCACCTCAGAGTCATGGCCCCCAGGAGATGTGAACTTGAAGCATATTAGCATGAACCACTCATTGTTTGTCTTTGAGAAAATTCACTGGTGAAACCTGAGAAACTAGCAAAACTCTAGTTGACCTGATATATTTCCATAATCTACTTGTCATTAAATACATTGGATGGGGCTGGGTGTGGTGGCACACACCTGTAGTCCCAGCAGCTCAGGAGGCTGAGGCAGGAGGATTGCAAGTCTAAAGTCAGCCTCAGAAGCTTAGTGAAGCCCTAAGCAACTTAGCAAGACCCTGTCTCAAAATAAAAAATAAAAAGTTTGGGGATGTGGTTTCAGTGGTAAAACACCCTTGGGTTCAATCCCCAGTGTATACACACACACACACACACACACACACACACACATACACACACACACACATGTATATATATCAGAGAACTTCAGATGTTCCATATGTAATATATAGGGTCATTAAACATATATTTTGTCTTGTATGAATCTTTTAGAGAGCCCACACATTCCAATAACTGAATGTATCTGTCTGTCTGTCTATCTATCTATCTATCTATCTATCTATCTATCTATCTATAGAGAGAGAATGTGTATATGTGTGTGGGTGGGTGGGCTGTGACTCATTGGCAGAGAGTTTACCTAGAATGTAAGAGGCCCTGGTTTCATCTGACCCGGATGAGACTCAGGATATTGCTGGCCCCTCCGAACAATGTAGGCACAGTTTCAAGAGAAACAGAAACACTGTAACTCATGTGTCCCAACTTGGCCTCACGCACCTCTCCTCTCTTTGTTGCAGGGAATGAAGGAGATAATTTCTACGTAATTGACCAAGGGGAAGTAGATGTGAGTATTGATTACTATTTTTGGAAAACAGGCTTCTTCCCATGTCTGGTTTGAAGACTTCACATTGTTCATCATTGGGTTGCAAGCATAGGTCTGAAGCATTTCTCTAAGTGATGTCATCCTAATGTTTTGTTTATTTATTTGTTCCTAGTGCTAGGAATCAAACCAGGCCCTGCAAATGTGAGGCAAGTGCTCTACCACTGAGCTGTGCACCAGCTCTGTTTCTAATGTTTCAATCAATAAAACCAACACATTTCATTTAAAAGGTAATGTAGAAATACCCCATCGCAGCACAGTGGACGATGGAGCTGTGGGCAGTACCAGTGGCAGCCATGGCCCTGGGCTGTCCACTTGGCAGAGGGCCAGAGCATGGAGAGCAGGTGCATGCTGTTATGCTTGACTTAGAGCTACCTCTAAATCAGTAGCTTGTGAACAGGCCAGTCTTACATCCACTGCCATTTGCCACAGTGGGTGGGGAGTCACAGGCTCTCAGTACCAACCCCCGTGGGGTGATGGTGCCTTCGTGACAGCGTATCACCATTCAGAAGCTGCACCGTGCTCATGGAGAGTTTTCCCCACCTTCAATGTTCCAAGAACCAAGAGCCACACTTAAGTGGAGCGGCCATCACTGCTGTGCAAGAAGTGTCGCCTGCTCTGGAGATCCCACCTTGGCCCTTGGTCCAGCCTCCCCCACCTTCCTGCCTCCTTCCTCCTTGGCCACCCCATCTGAGCCCAGGTGCCCTGGCTTGGAAGACGTGGAGTCCCTTTGCTGGGCTCCTTGCTCTGCAGGCTGCTCTGCCCTCCTCTGAACTAAAGGCCTGTCTTTTCCCAAACCCGCCATGAGTCTGTTTCTCTTTGGATCAGGCTGGGGCCCTGATGCGATTCACAGGGTGGGGCCTGAGTGGGTCCCCCTGGAGCCTGCCTGGCACTGTGCTGTCCCTCTGCCAAGACCTCTGACTCCCCTAGGCAGGGTCACTGAGAGTGCCCACTTCTCCTTTTGGTGTCCTTTTAAATGTTACTTCCTCAGCTTGGGCGTCAGCAGACGCATCCAATTTCTCACCCTATAGGCGCCCTTCCTTCATAATTCAGTTTATATTTTGTAGTTTTTTTAAACAAGTAGTTTCCACTACAGCCAGGAAGCAGTCTGAAGGCAGAGACTGAGTCTGTCCCACATTTTGGAGATCCTGAGGCCCTAGACGCCTCTGCTTCCCAGGCCTGCTACCAAGTCCCCTCTGGACTGGGGTGCATCCCAGCTGTGCCTGCCCCCACCAGATTGTGCCACCGTCCGCAGAGGACCCACCTTGCCCCTAGGTAGCCCCTGTGGCTGTGCAGCCATGCCACGCCCCGCCGCCCCAGGCAGGGTAAGCTATTTCAGGGCCTGGCCCCTGGCCCCCCAGCCTCTGTCCAGTCTAGGCTATTTTGGGGAAGGGCACTTAGTCACTTATTTCCCCAGCGCCCATCTGTGTCCACTCGCTGCCGTGTTTCTGGGAACCAAGCGGGCGTACCCGCTTCCGGAGTTGGCAGCACAGGAAGTGACTCACCTCCAAAGCCCTGCCGGGGGCTCAGGCTGAGTCCCCTCGAAGATTTCTTTGTCATGAGCCCTGGAGCTTTGTCTTGAGCTGAGTCTGGCAGCTCTGTCCTAACCAGGTCTCTGTGGGAGCCTTTGTGTCTCGGGGATCCTGTCTCCCCCAGATAAGGAAATTGAGGCAGGAGCTAAAGGTCTCTGGTTGCTAAGCTGTGGAGGATGTGCAGGGAGGAGGAAGAGGAGGAGGAGGAGGAGGTGACCGACCTGTGGCCACAGGCACCTCCTGCTGCCTCCTTCAGGGTTAGCAGAGGAGATGGGAGCATGGGGCTGCTCTGCCCACCTCACCTTGCCTCAGCCTGTCCCAGGGGTGGTGTGTGTTCCTGGCATGGGGTATGGGTCCTGTCCAAACCCAGGCCTTGTGGTGGGGTGGCACAGGCCAGGAGTGAGCTCAGACTCCAGTGCTGGGTGGGGCAGGTCCGAAGGTGCCTGTGGCTCTGCTGCCTGGTCCGTGATGCTGAGGAGCAGAGGGCAGAGTGTGTGTATGTGTGTGTGGGGGGGGCTTGCTCCTAGTTTCTCCCAGCTGCCCTTCCAGTTCCTAATCTCACACTGTTCTCATCTCCTGGTCCCCCAAAACATCCCCACTCTTCCCCTCCATTCTGCCTAAATGTGTGCTGGCACTGGCCTGTGAGTGCTCCTAGGGAGGGAGGACAGCCCTGCCCAAGGGGTGGGGGTGGTTGACAACCAATAGGAAGTTAGTAAACAGTGTCTCGCCTCAGGACCGCGGCCTTCTGGTGCCCTCTTCTTCTTCCTGTGTCTCCTGTGTCTCCCCCAAGACCCCCCAGGCCTGCTCCTCTGCCTGCTGTGGGGGTAGATGCCAACCTGGGCAGGTGACCGAGGACAGATCCTCCTTGCCTCCAGGAGCCCCTCAAGAGTCCCAGCCTCAACTCATAGTCTTCTTCCCTCCCGTGGAATGCTCTTCCCTGCCCGTATTCCCCGAGGTCCTGTGAATCTCCCAGCTCCACCCAAGAACGCCTTCAGCTTGGGCAGAACAGAGGGATTGAGACGACCCCAGGGAATCCTGAACTGTGTATTTTTGTTTCTCCTAAGGGAATGGGTGTGGGAGACACAGATGCTGCCCCCAGAGTTCCTTCATGGAGCCCGAAGGGCCTCACTAGGGAGTCCCAGGAGATGCTTCTTCCAACACGCATCTAAAGGAAGTTGGTGGGCGGGTCTGAGCAGTGAGTGGGTTTTGCAGGAGGGTTTGGGCACCGTCCTTCCCTGTTCAAGCTGCCTCATCTCTGTACTTCTCACAGGGACATTAACAGAGACCCAAAGTCCCTGCGTAGAGCCCTCCATCCCCTCCATTCCGTCACCTCCCACCCTTCTGGGCAGCCCCACCCATACCTGCCTCCCACACAGGTGCCACCATCAGCCCCACACCTGTGGTGGCCCAAGCTTGTCCTGGTCCTGAATGCAGCGATCACCCTCCTTCCACATGTCAGGCCCATTGAAGGTGCCCAGGGAGGCAGGAGGTGGGAGGATGCCAGCCTGTCTTGTCACCTGTGGCCCACAGGCTGTGACTGCCCATGAGCAACTGCTGGTACGCAGTTTCCCAGTCGGCTCAGTTTCCCAGGAGGCTCAGGGTTCCCCGTGTGCTTAGCCCCAGCCACTCGGCCTTGTGCAGAAACCCTTATCTGCCCCACATCCATTGGACTCACACTCCTTCCTCTTCTCATTGCAAACTATGATGTGCTATGCCATCAACCAGACCTGACCCTCTTCCCTGATTCCCTTGAGCATCAAGTGTGGGGTGGCAGGGGACTGACATGGCCCCACCTTTGTCTGAGCCCTCCCTTTGAAGCAGAGTCTGAGTCTTCTTGAACCTGAGGCTCATCCCAGCAGGACCCCTCCCAACCACAGAGGGGCTGCCTCAGGGTCCAGGCCCCTGGGCATCATGCCATGGGGTTGGGAGATTTCCACCCTTTCAGCCAGGTCTCATCCCTGCTGCCCTGTGATCTTGGTGGGCAGTGCTGCACCTGGCTCCCCACCAGCCCAGGACATGTGGAAACAATTTGGTGAAGGAAGAGGTGAGGTCATTCCATATAACTGGAATTCCCCAAGTACAATATCTGGCAGATCCAGGCTCTCTGTCCCCCATCTACACCCACTCCCTGCTCCAGGCTCAGGTACAAAGGTAGCAAGCACTAAGGCCCTTGCTGGACCCCTGCTCACCAGGGCCAGATGTCTGGGTGCCCCTGGTGGTTGTCTGGTTCTTGGGGCAGCCTCAAATTTGGGACATCCAGAGTGCTGAGAGCGCAAGGCTGTGACCTGGTGGCTGTAGTGGAAGGGAGCACCAGCCTTCCTGCCCCACCAGGGCTGTATGTGAGTGCCCGGCACCTTCATCAACCTTAGAGTTTCCATCCACAATAGGGTAGGTGGCAGGGAGTGCCCTGCGGGGCCAGGGCAGAACTGCACGGAGGGAGCTGTTTGGTAGGGAGCACTGGCACTCTGGGAAACACCAAGGGCATGGGCAAAAGCCACATTTAAAGGAATCAAAAGATGCTCAGTAAAGCATCTGGAATGAATGGATGGTGTGTGGGGCAGCTAGGCTGAGTTATGGGGCATATGTTATGATGATTACTGTTATTACCACACTAGAGGAGCCCAGCCCAGTCACCAGCCCACTTCTGAGACCTGTGCTGCCTTCTGTTTGCTGGTTTCTGTAAACTACCTCCAGGGCACTGGAACTAACCTCTGCAGGGCACAGCCTGTAGGTTCAGGGTGCCCAGGGGTTGTGTATGCCTCTAACATCCTAAAGGATGGATACTGGGACACTGCAGGTGACCTGACACTGACACTGGTCTTATAGGGATGGGGACATCACCAGCATCAATCCCCAGGCTGGAATCAGCCTCCCCCAGGATTCCAAAGAGGCTGGGCAGGGGGTCCTGGGCACCCCCACATAGTGGATGCTTCCCTCTGACCAGTGGCACTCTAGGGTGACCAGGAAACTGAATGTAAGAGGCACGAGCTTTAAATGATGGTTTTCCAGAGACTCTGAGAAAGTCTGCCACGGTGGGTATGTTGCCAAGAGCCTGTAATCCATTTCTCTAAGTATAAAAATATCTTCCAATTTATTTTATTCATGGAACATAGCATTTCTACTTAAAAGGACTCTCAGCTGCCAGTTGTACGGGCTCAGGAGTGTGATTCCATTTCCAGCCCTGTGAGACGGGGTTTCCATCCGCATTGTTTGGGGACTCCCTGCTCTGCACACCCATCCAGGTGCACCTTGGACCTGCTGGCTGCAGGTCCCGGGGAAGAGCCATTTCCAGATTGGAGGCAGGACTGAGCGCTCCCTGGCAGCCCAGTACCCCCCGTCCATGGCTTGCTCCATCTGGCTCCACGACTGGGGCGGGGTATTATCCAGTGTTTGCCCATGTGGTTACATTGGTAAAATATACTCAGCCTTCACTGCTGGAATCACGAAGTGAACTGTGTAGCCATCTCCATCCTGGTTTGCAGAGTTTCCCTCCTCCCACGGTGGAGCTCTGTCCCCATTGCGCACCGACGCCCCTCCCCTCCAGGCCCACGGCACCCACCATTCTGCTTTCTGTCTATGGGAATCCGACTCCTCTTGGGTCTCAAACCAATGGAATCCTACAGTGTTGGTGTGTCCTGCTTATTTCACTGAGCATCACGTGTTCATGCTGTAGCATGTGTCTGAGTGTCCTTCCCACTCAAGGCAGAGTCGCATCCATTGTATACACATACCTGTCACCATGGAGAGCACTGGGCAGCTTCCATCTTTGGCTGCTGTGAACTGGCCGCTTTGGACCTGGATGTGCAGATGTCTCTGGGACACCCTGGTTTCAGCACATTCTGTTTTGATTAGTGATTTATCAAGGGCTATGCAGCCCATCATGGAAATTTCTTGTGGAGTTTGGAGCTTTCCAAGTGTATGTCACCCATGAAGCATATCCAGGATCCAGAATTTCTTTTTGGTGTCCTTTTGGCTCTGCCTGAAGTCACAGGCTGTTGGATACAGCCTGGCAATGATTATGCCTGGAGTTGGGGGTGATAAACCCCGAGATTCCCCAAATGCAGCAGTGTTCACATGGGGACAGGTGGCTTGGGCATGCTGGGCTCTGGCAAACCTTACACAGCTCTGTTCCAAGGAGCAACAGCGTGAATTGGGGCTCAAGGTTGGCCAGGGAGTCAGTGGAAAACTCTAGATTCAGGGTCTTGACAAAATCCTGCCTTCTGTGTGTGGTCACAGGGGAGGGGAGGTGGGGGCCATGGCTTGGATTTGGGATTTGGGATCCATGGGGGATCGTTGTCAGCTGTCTGGCCACCCAGAGGAGTAAAAACAACCGGTGAGGCTGTCCTACATGGTCCAGCTGTGCAGACAGAAACCCTAGGATGGGTGAGCCCCCAGTGAAGGCCAATCAAGTTCAGCACCTGGCATCTTGGACTAAAGAGGATCAAGATGGTGGGCCAAGCTTGCTGTGGTGAGAAATGTGGCTGAGGGAGCAGGAGGGCAGTGGGATGTGTGGGCCTTAAGGTGGGGAGGGAGCTGGCTCACCTGGACACAGGTGCCCTGACTCTACTCTCTGTGGGCCTGAGGGAGGTCAGGAACAGAGTTTTGTCCTCACTACTCCATGAAATAGAACAATAGCTTGTCAGCACCCTTAAGTCATGTTGCAAGGCCAGGAGACCTGAGGCCACAGGTTGCCTTCGCCTTTTAGGTGACAGCTCAGGCCAGTGTTCTGGCCTCTGTTCTCTCTCAGTACTTCTCTGTGGAGTGCTTTTCTGTGGAGTCAAGTCTGACCTGAAATACCTGGGGAGCCCAAGCAGCCCCTACCCTGGGCGGGGCACCTAGAGCTCCTATAGCCCAGTGTGCCTGGGGATGGGGAGGTGCACCCGGCCAGGCAGGCCACACTTGCTCCACCCTGACTAGGCTTGGAGTTGGAAATGGACAGAAATCCAGTGCTGCCTCATGACCCTGATGCTCGGGCACCGCGGCTGGTCAGCTGATGGATGTCCTCTCTCTACTTCTGGCCCCACTGCAGTCTGAACGGGCTGTGTGTGGGGTTCTCCCTGTCTGCAGGCAAGTTGCTGGCCCACTAGAGCCTCACTCAGGGATCCACTAGGGATTGTGGCTCTGTATTCTGACTGTCCGTGGATACAGGTGCCGCTGGCCCACAGGCTGCAGGCTGTGTAGCCTTCTGGTCTTCTTGGTGCCTTCTGGATGCCCCCTGGCCACTCTCTGCTTGGCTCCCAGGGAGCTCTGTGGACAGGATAGTGTCTCCTGGGGGTGCTCATAGTCTCTGTTGTTTCCTGTTAGGATTCCCACCCAAGCCCTTCCTTTCTCTGGTGCTAAAGGGTGGCTACCCACATGCTCTGCCCATCAACATCTCCCCCTGTGTTGCTGCATCCAGGGTCTTCCATGTCCAGTCCTGCCTCTGGGCCTTGGCACACCTGTCCCTCTGCTTTGAATTCTCTGTACAAATCTTTGCAGGTCTGAGCCCTTGCTATTCAGAACTCGGCTCAAATCTGCCTCCGTGGGGACTGTCACAGCCCCTTCTCCAAGACATTGTTTCCCAGTTTCTTTGTGGCTCTTCCATGTTCTACAATGAATACGTGTTTGTATGGTGATTTGCCCGTGTCCTGTGTCCCCTTGGACTGGAAAGTCCCCTGTGGACAAGAACCTGTCATCTACCGCAGGGTCCCCAGTGATGAAATCAACTTGGGGATGGAGGGACGCTTTATGGGCTGAGGGGAGGGAGGGAGGGAGGGAGGGAAGGAAGGAGGAGAGAGGGGCCGGGGGAGCGCCGTGCTCAGCAGAGAAGCCACAGTCACTGTGGAGCATAAATGCAGCCCAGTGGGGCCTCCCACCATTTTTCTTTTAAAAGAAGAAAAAACAAAAACAAAAAAAATGAAACAAAACAAGAGTAGCCCCTTTGCGTACCAGCTGGGTGGGGCTCGCGCTGCTCCGGGAGCCGTGACAGAGGCCAGTGTCCCGAGAAGGATGGCCCCTTTGTCCTCTGGGGGGTGGCCCTGGGCCCATCCACAGGATCTGCACAATGGTTTTCTCTGATGCCGAGGATGGAGCTCTGGGAGGCTTGGGCTCCTTAGTGAGGAAGGGTCTTCGTGGGTAGAGGGTCCTGGCTCCCTGGGCATGCTCTGGGGCAGCAGCCACTCCATCCCTCTTCATGTATAGGCCCCAGGAAAGTTGAGGGTACACCTGGGCCAGGACATGGCAGCCCTGTGCCCTGTGGCAGGTGGCCAGGTGTCCCACCATTTGAGGGGCTCCTTTTTCCTCATGGTTTTAGGAGGGAGACTTGCCCACCTCCTCGGCTGCAGATGTTGCCTGCCTGCTTGGACTCCTGTGTTGAGCAAACCTTTGCAAGCCTCAGATTCATGTCCCCAGCCCACATTGCATTACATGTCAGCCAGAGGCCACATATGGGAGCATCAGTGGGGAATGCTGAAGGGAGGGCTGGTTGGTGCAAGTGCTGGAAATCGAGGTTAAGCAACACCTGCTAAAACCGAAGCAGGAGGTGCCCTCTTGATGCAGAGGAGACCCCAGGCTCACTGCCCAGGGAAATGAGGCAGCTCTGGCAGGTTCAAGAGTGTCCCTGAGAGATCGATGTATGGCAGCCCAAGCTCTAGCCCCTAGATGGATACGAACTGTGCAGCACAGACGATGAGCCACTGGCCAGATTGGCACTGGGGAGTGTCCTTACAGGGTGCCAGGTGTTTCTGAGTGGTGTCATCGAGCTGCACATTTATGCTAAATTCCAAGTTGTACCCCCATAAACAGATTCTTACAGGAACAGAAGCAGAGCAGGAGTGGCAACTTCAGCGGGCGGCCAGCTGTGCCCATGACATCTCTGCCAACCTCTCCGGGCTTGGGTTCCCTTTGTGAAAACCAGAATCTGATACTCTGGGAAGTGTTTTCTGAGGTTCTCTAAGTTCACCCCTAAAATACTGGGATTCCCAACCCGTGACCCTCCTGTCCAGCATGGTGTGCCGGGTGGGGGGTGCTGGTTGTCTTTTGATTCCTTTTTGGATTCCCCCAGGGCTTGTGGAGGGGAAGCCAGACTCTCCTGCCACTGTGACTGGCCGGGCAGGGGGAGCATACGCCGCCAGGTGGAGTCTCTTCCTTGCACAGCCATAGCAGACTGCGCCCTCAAGACTTGGTGGTGGACCAGTTCTCCCGCCCTTGGGCACACTTATCCATCACCTGTGTGGCGTCTTCCTTGAGATAGAAAATTCTGTGCAGGGTTTATGATTGGATAATGAGTCATTGATTTCATAAGAATCGCCTCCATGATTCATCATAATCCATTCTTTCCCCACACGCACCCATTTTGCCAATGGGAACTATTCTGTAAGCTCATTGACACGCTGCGGGAATAAAGAGTGCATTGTGTCAATTTATAGTAACCAAATCTGCATAATCGCTGCATAATGAACAATCTGCACCATTCTCGCATGGGTGTGGGCTGCGTGCGCACGGTCAATGCATAGTAGGCACGCTGTGCAGGGCGCGACGGCCGAGCAGGCTGAAAGGGAATCTTGTCTGGGTCCCTTCTCAGCACGGTTCAGCCGCGGCGTCCAGCCAATGGGCTCCTGTTCAGGCTCCAGGCCAAGGGTCTTGGGTGCTGCCCTGAGAGAGGAAAGGCCCCGGGAGGAAAAAGCTTTGCAACCAAAGACAGTTGACATAGCTCTTTGGGGGGCCAGGGCAGTATGTGCTGATGGAAGTGGAGGCCAAAGGGGCAGTGACCCTTGGGGCGTTGCTGAGTGGCGGGAGGCAAGGGGCAGTTTATGAATGGGAAAGGCAAGAGGTTGGGTGTCCACGTGGAATCTCAGCACATGCGTGGTGAGGCCCAGCTCATTGGTATGCAGTTGGGGAAACTGATGGCCAGAGAGGCTGAGGGTTGATAGTAGGCAGCTGAACTGCTGACGGGCCTGGGAGAGGGCTTGGTTGTGCTCCATGACTTGGTGCTGGCCCATCCTTTGGGGCTAGGTGCTGTCTGGGTGGCTGGCCCACAGCCATGACAGCCTGGGCCACCTGCTGGGAGGGGAAAGTGGGGCTCCACTTCAAGCAAGAGATCCCCGGGAGAGCTTGGAGGCCTCTGTGGGAAGCAGCCAATGTGGTCCCCGTGTGTCCCCCATGATGTCACTCTTCTCATGTTCCCTGCAGGTGTATGTGAATGGAGAGTGGGTGACCAACATCAGCGAGGGGGGCAGCTTTGGGGAGCTGGCACTCATCTACGGCACCCCCAGGGCTGCCACAGTGAAGGCCAAGACAGACCTCAAGCTCTGGGGCATCGACCGCGACAGCTACCGGCGCATCCTCATGGTGAGTGAAGGCAGAGGGCAGAGGGCAGAGGCTGAGTCTGACCCCAAGCTATGGCCCAATACCCTACAGAGACTCTGGCTTTACTCAAGGAGGATATGTGCCTGCAAGACACTTCCCAGCCTCCCCAACAGATACAGCCTGTGAGGCGAATATGAGGTCTTGGGTAGGATTCTGGAAAGCCTCTTAGAAGACAGGCTGATAGCTAGGGAAGTCCCTTTTTCTTTCTCCTCTTTCTCCTTCCAACTGTCTGGGACATGGTTGTGATGGCTGGACCTCCAGCTGCCATGTTGGACCATGAACTATAGAATGAAACCTATTCACCAAGGGAATAGAGCAAAGAGGCATGAGGAAGGGCTTCCTGCCAACTTGGTGGGACCACCATTCCAGGGCTGGACCACTTACTCCCATACTTCTTTCATGTGGGGATTGACCCTTGGGTTTTAAGCCACTGTCGTTTTAGGTTTGTTCTTACATGCCGCCATGTCTATGCTTTGTGGGTGCACTATGAGGGTATGTGTGTACAACCCCCTAGGGGGCAGCTGGAACTTTAGGCTGATGCGGTCACCTGGGCAGCTTCTGGACTGGAAAGACCCTTCGCAGTGGGAGGAGGCTGCTCTGTGCTCACCTACACACTACCTGCCAAGCTCCATTCTGTAGCAGGGGACATTAGAAGCAGCAGGCTGAGCCGGCCTGTGGTGGAGACTGACCGTGACCTCGCACATACCTGTGTATGGATGGTTCCTGAAGGGAAATCACGGAGAAGAGGGTAGAGGCGCCCAGGAGCAGGGCAGGGTTGCTATCTTATAGAAAGGCCTCAGAAATCTGCCCTCTGGGAACACTAGAGCAGAGGCCTCAGGCAGGAATGAAGGAGGCCAAGGCTCAGGCTGTGTGGTAGAGCGCTCGGGCCAGGCGAGCAGTGAGGACAAAACCCTGAATGGCGTTGTATGGAGGGCTGTGGCCAGCGAGGACACTGTCCTGGATAAGAACAAGGGCTCTGTCCAGAGTGGTGGCATGCTCCCCTGTGAGGGAGGCCCCACGGCCTCCACTGGGCCCATCAGCTGGACTCTGACCTGGATCACCCAGAACCATGGCCGCAGTTTGAGCCAGCTCGGACCCAGCTGTCTCTGGGCCAGCTTCCCCATCCTGGTGAGGGCAGAGTGGCCCGTGGTGAGAAGCATCCTGAGAGTCTGAGGCTGGCTGCTGGGGTCTGGGGGTCTACGTGTGGCCAGCTGTTCATCTACAGCCCCTTCTTTTCTGTTGTTGGGCGGAGGCCACTGGAAGTGGGTGCCTCTTCTGGGGCAGCCACACCTTTTGGCTCTCTGTGCTTACCCAGTGGTGGCCAGTGCTGGGCTAGGAGCTTTTCCTGTCTGATCAGAGGTCAGGGGAACCATGGTGGGCTTGCTGTGAGGGCCGTCCTCGAGACAGCATTTGCTCAGGGGCCTCTCCAGCAAGCCTGGAGTTTGAAGAGGGAGGTGGCCATGATAATCACTAAGTAAGGAGAACTGGACCCTACTCAGCTCACCCCTGCCAGGGCGACTCATGCCATGGGATGGCCTCTACTCCGTGCCTGAAACCAATACCATGTCTGAGACACAGCTTCCTCGGGGTCTTGGCTGTCCTCCCAAAGGCCAGCCTGGGCGGAGCAGGGAGGATACCATTTCTAAGGGGAGCTGTGGCTGAGACACATGAGAGGAAGCTGAGGATCCCCATAGTATGGCTCAGGACAGGGCCCCCAGTCTTAGTCACAGAGGCTTGGAGTCCTGTCCCAATGCCCTCTCCTGGTCCCATTGTGGGGACCAGCTTTCCTTCTGCACGTAGGGGTCAGCAGCCCTAGGGGCAACCATTTCATCAGACATCATGCTCCATGAGCTCCTTACCCACATACTGACTGGGCACTGGTTGTGTGCCCAGCATGCACCAGGGCTGTGGCACTGACGTGGATACTCGAGCACAGAGTAGATGAACGTGGGACCCCAGGAAGGACTTCCGCAGATCCTCCCTTCTCCTGTCTTAATGTGCATGCTCCTGTCTGCCAAGACCTCTGTGTGGGAGGGGTGCTCTGGGGCCTCCTCCCTCTGAGGGCCACACAGTTCCTGTCCCTTCTGGGTGCACCTGGCTGGCTGGGTGTTGCATAAGCCATCGCTCCTCCGCTGCTGTCTACCCTGGGTCGTTCCTGACTGGGATTTTTGCGGCTAGAACCTTATATTCAGGGAAACTCTCAAACCACCAAGGGAGCTGGCACTTTCTCTGTTTTAATTTTGGATCCTTGTGTGCTAAGGATAGCCGCCGTGGGGCTTGGAAGTCGCAGAGCTCATGCATCGGGAAAGAAAATGACAGTGCTGGGCAAGTTCGGGCAGGAGTGCCCAGCAGGACGGTGTTCTCATTCGTCCTCCAGCCGAGCAGATTTGGATGTGTCTGTCAGGCAGTGTCCGCACCCTGTGCCCATTTAGAGCTAAGCTGGGATGTGCTGAGGAGGATGCAGGAAATGGGGGACACTGGTGTATCCATGGAGTGGACCACTTCCCCAAACATCAACTTGGACGCCACATTCAGGCAGCTGGAATCCCAGAATGTCTGAGCTGAAGGTTCCCAATGTCCATTTCTTTCCTCCGAGGTTCTGTGTTATTGAGGGAAGAATGGAGCCCATATTGGCCTGGAGCAGAGATTGACCACTATCCCCAGGCTTCCAGACAGGGGCCCAAGGAGGGCTCAGGGCTCTCCTAGCTCTCTTTTTTCTTTAAGCTTTGAGTCCTCTGTGCACCCAAAAAATACATGGGACTTGAGAGCTAATGAAGTAGAATTCCGTGAGAGAGGCTGTGCTAGGTTCTCCAGAGCCCCCTGCCTAGGGTGGCCCGAGACCTTGGGAACCTGGGACCTGAACAGAGAGGGCCCTCCCTGCCTCAGCACTATCTCCCAGTGTCTCCTGGGGGGGTCACACAACCTTGGAGGTGGACCGTGTGTACCTGGTGGTGGAGAAGTCTCTGCAGGTTGAGCAGTGGGGGGCCTCGGGTGATGGGAAGCTTACACCTTGGACAGACTCCTTTGCAGCCACCTTGGTGCATCACAGTCCCAGGCTGGGGTGGGCTTTGTGGGGTGTTGGACCTCAGACACCCCAGGCGGTAGCCTCAGTACAAATGTTCTCCTGAGCTGGCAGGGAAAAGTGTAAAGTGCCCAAGCACCAGATTCTGGTCCTTGTCCATAGGCCACATGCCAGCAGGTCCTGGGCCTTTGGGCCACTCTAGCAAGGGCCCCAGTCGGCTGGCAGCTTAGGTGCCAATGAGACTGAGCAGGGCTGGTCAGGTCCCAAGCTCCTCAGGGAGTGGGCTGGGTCAGCGCCAGGATGCCAGTTCCCACCACACAAGGCCTAATTGGGATGTTGGCTAACATGCTTCAAGTCCCCTGGGTCACGGAGGTGGTCTCCCAGATGCCTAGAGTAGAAACAAATGGCCAGGCCTCCAGCCTGTCCATCTACCAACTGTCCATCTCAGCAGGAAGCAATGGAGGCCATCCCTTCCCCAGGACCCAGGCAGCCACCTCCAGTTGTCCTGTAGAGAGAGATGGACAGCCCATGGCGCTGACTTTAATGTCAGATTCGTGGGACAAAACATTTGCATGGGCGTAATTGCTGGGTGGTCAGTGAGGATTTTGAATTATTGCTCAAAAGAAATGGCTTTTGGGGGGTCCAGCAGGGATCTAAAATGGCTTGGACTGGGTCGCTGAGCAAGCCTCTACCATTTTGAAGCTGTCCTGACCGGCTCTGATGGGTTGATGTGGCACCTTCTGCTGCCTGTGCCTGTCCCTGCTTCCAATAGTGCCCTTCTTGTCACTGTGGAGACGTGTTCAGGCTGCCTGCAGGGCTCAGAACCACTTTCTACGCTGCCTGGGTCCAGATGGTCTCGGGTAACTTAATGAGGTTTTCTTGGACCTATGAGCCCCCAACCCTGTTAGGACTTGTGCTAGAAAGAGGGGAGATTAGGGAGGGGACTCTGGGTTCCTAAGACTGAGACCTGTAGCTGTTTCAGCACTGCCTGGCTCGGAGCTGATGGAGAGGCTGAGGCCTGCCTGGGTAGGGAACCGGGGTCCTTTCATGGTGTCCCATATAATCTTCATGGGAATCCTTTGGGGGAAGACATTAAGATAATCCTGCCGGGTGCGGTGGCACATTCCTGTAATCCCAGCAGCCTGGGAGGCTGAGGCAGGAGGATCACGAGTTCAAAGCCAGCCTTACCAACAGCTAGGCACTAGGCAACTCAGTGAGACCCCTGTCTCTAAATAAAATACAAAATAGGACTGGGGATGGGGCTCAGTGATTGAGTGCCCCTGAGTTCAATCCTTGGTACCCCCCCCAAAAAAAATTTCTATTGTCCAAGAGGCAGGTAGGCACTGGGGGAGTAGAGGTGTGAGCTCATGCTGTCTGACAGCTGGCTTGTGCTCCAAGTCACCTCAGCCTCTCCTGGATGGTCACTGGTGGAGGGACAATGGACAAGCTACATGCCACCCATGCCTTAAGGGCATCCTCACATTAACACGTAGTTGTTGCCTCTCCTGGTGGGCACTGAGCCTTGGGGACAGCACCTGCTGTATTGCTCTGCTCCTCAGTGTCTCTCCACCCTGTCCTTGCTCCATCCCACTTCTGTCCAGCCCCTCCCCAACCTGTTCTCCATGGTCCTCCCCTTTCTCCTCCCGCACTCTGGTGCCTACTCTGCTTTGTCTTTTAGACAAAACCGTTTCCCCTCTGGAAACCTGACCATCTGGTTTCAAGTACTGGCCTTTGGGGACACCCCAGCCTTACCCTCCTGGTCTCTGATCTCCTGGACTAGACACCAGGTCCTCACGTCCGAGCAGCAAGGTTGGCCCACCTGCCTAGATTCCATATAGCCTCTTTTAATCCTGCTTCCAGTGATATTCCCCAGTGATGATGATGATGGTGATGATGGTCATGGTGATGATGGTGAAGGTGATGGTGGTGATGATGGTGGTGGTGATGGTGCTGAGGATGGTGGTTGTGTCCTAACTTAGTGCAATGAAGGAGAACCCGTGGGGGAGGGTCAGCACCCTCTATTTGTAACCTGATCCTGCTCATAACTCCCCGTGTTCATAAACCAGTCTTGTCCCCTCTGGGCCTCAGATTCTCCATAAGAATAGTGATCAAGTTGGCACCTTGATCTCTGTGTCTCTGACCTGGGCTCCTCTCCCTTCTCTGAGCTGTCTCCCACTGCCACCACCGTGCTATCTCTACCTCAGTCCAGACGGTTCCTTGTCTGCTTCCCATGGAGACGTAGTGAGACCCCAGCCTCAGATGACTTCCCCCTCATCAGCATGGGATGGGGACCTCCTTCACTGATCCTAAGAGCCCCGCTCTTCCCAGATCATGATGAGAAGCAGCATGGTGAACCTTGACTCCTATGGTTACAGCCTTGAATCTGACCCACAAGTGGCACTGTTACATCTCCACTCCGTGGGGAAATAGAGGCTCAGAGAAGGGACATGGCCTGCTCTTGCCCATTGGTCTACCAAAGGGTGGGACCAAGACTTGAAAAGGGACAGTCTCCTCCCAGCATTCATCTGTCCCCATGGGCTCCAGGCCATCCTGAGGCTGTTCAGTAGCTTCATCCCACATTCAGTGTCTTACCCTTCTTTGGGGCAGAAATGGTATCTGTGGAGCCTCTTCTGTGTGCCTGCCATGTGTTGTTGTCATCTATCCTGACGTCACAGGAGGGGGAGGGTGGCTTGCAGAGCCACCAATGTGCTCAGGCTGCCATCATTGTCACCATCACCACTGCCTTGATTTTTATCATCACTTTGACTGTCAGCGTTATCGCCGCCATCTTCATCATCATCAACACCACCATGGCCATGGTTATCACCGTCACTATCACCACCAACATCATCACCATCACCACTGTCACCATCAACAACATCTTTGCTATCGTCACCCGCATCACCGTGACTGTCACCACCATCACCACCATCAATGTCGTCCTCACCGTCACCATCACCACCACTATCACCATCAGCAGCAACTGAGGGAACATGGATAGGGACTTAGTCCTTACAGCTACCCAGGGAGGCAGGAGTATTATTATCCCCTTTCAACAAGACTTAATGGCTTGGTGGCACATCCAAATCTGTCTTTGACCCCCTCAAATGTAGTATACTTTGCCTGCTCTCAGGCACTTGGCCTGGATGTCCTCTAAGCCGAGGCCCTGGGAGGCACAGGAGGCAGGGTGGCTTAGGCCCTAGTCCCTGTCATGGGCGAGGGCTTAGGTGGCCACTGTGAGAGGGGGACTGGCTCTGCTCCACAGGTCTGTGTTTCTGGACGTTGAAGGGGACACGGCGGGCCAGCAGGGAGTGCCTGAGCCGCTGGGGCTGGGTGGAAAGGTCGGCTCACAGAAACGGTGGAAAAACCCTGGGTCTGGCCCCGTGGAAACCGCTGCTGTGCCCTGGGGACTCAGAGCCATTCCTTCCCCACTTCACTGCTGCTTGCATTTTTGTCATAGCTTTCTGGGGACAGGCCTTCAGTGCCCTTTCTCCAGCCCTTCCCCTGAGAGCCCTTTTCCCTGCTGGGGCAGATCCCGCTCCCTCCCCTGACCTTCTCCCACGCCTGTCGCCAGGTCTGACCCAGCAAGGAGGGTGTGGACGGAAGTCTGCGGGACGCCTCCCCACTGCCCCACTGGGGAGGGGGCTCCCGTGGCAGCCCCTCATTTTCCCATGCAATAAAGTCACCTAGGGTCCCTTGGAGGAGGGAGGAGACTTCAGCTAAAACTGCTCCCAGTTCCGAACCATAAAGCCAAGCTGCATCTTTTGCCGGTAGCCTGAAGAGATGGGAGAGGGTCTGTAGCAGGGGGACCCTGTCCCACACTCAGTGGGGTGGCTGTGGGCCTGTGCTTCAAGTGTGCTCCCCTCTCCCCTTTCTCCTGCTCCTTGGGGCCACTGTGAGTTGTGACAATGTGCCCAGAGCTGAGCACCTGCCTTGCACAGCGCACTTGGAAATGCCACCCAACGTGACTGTGTTTCCACTCTCTCTGGCGAGGCTGTTGACTAGTTGGGGCAGATGCTCTGAACAGACCTCTCCAGAGACAAGAGGTTCTGACAGATCCACAGGCACTTAGGAGCCCTCTGTGTCAGGGGTCCCGCCTCTTGTGTCTGGTCCACCTCCCCTTGCCCGACATCTTCCAACATAGATTCTTCTTTAGAAAGCTGATGGTGGGTGTGCTTCAGTGTCTGAGGCTGCCTGTGGCTTCAGGGACCAGGAGGGTCTGGCTACTGCAAGTAGGTGTGGGAAGGAGCCCATGGGGATATCAATACCACCTCACCGATGGCCAAGCAGGATGAATGAGCCTCCTTCGCCCTTATTGGATGTCTGAGGCAGCTGGGAGGGCTACCGGCCAACTGCCCGCAGGCCTTAGAAGCTCTTGTCCCACCTCTGTTAGGATCAGGGTTAGCTGGACACCCTAGTTAGCTGTTGCTGAGTAACAAACTTCCCCTGAACTTAGCGGCCTCTGACAGAAGTGTAGCATTTGGCACAGTTTCTGTGGGTCCCGAGGAAGCAGCTTAGCTGGGTGGTTCTGGCCTGGAACTCTCTAGGGTTGCAGTCACTGGAAGGTATGAAGGATGGAGGATTGCTTCTGGGATGTCTTGTTCCCATGGTGCTGGTGGCTGATTCCTCCTTTGAATCATGGGGGCAGTATGGTTGGTGCCATAGTGTCTTCCACAACTCAGTTTGGGAAATCTCCTTAGCATCCCCTTGGTTACCTAGGTCAGCCCTGTTTGGTAGGGGACAATGCATATATAGGTTGTGGACCCTGGGGGTGTACTGTCAGGTCCCCATAAAGGCTGGCACACCTTGGGCCATGGAAGCCCCTTCAGAAGACTCCAGGGATTTGAGGGCTGGGTACAAGAAATGGTCTGGCTGGCACAGGTTCATGGCCATCTGCAACTTTCAGGATTTGGGATGCTTTAAAAGGCCTACTCTGAAGAGTTCGGAGTTAATAGTCCTCTGGGAAAGTCTGGAATTGTTGAAATGATTCAGGTTTGAAGACCCACATTCTCCCTTTTTCTTCCAAACAGGGCAGCACACTGAGAAAACGCAAGATGTATGAAGAGTTCCTCAGCAAGGTCTCCATCCTAGGTCAGTGGCTCTGCCTGTCCCCAGGTGACCTATGTGGGCTCCTGTGAGCACCTGCCCTCCAGTCCCAGATACCTTCCCTTCCTTGCATGGCTGGCAAGTTACATGCTCTTGGTGTTAAGCAGGTTAGGGACATGTACACACACACTTTCACATATGTACACAAGCACACACATCCATCGGTGGTGTGCACACACTACGGTCTGTGGCATGACAGTTCTTAAATCAGGGTTGTGCTGGCTTAGCTCTCCCACTGTCTTTGATGCCGTCCCCCTAGGTCCCTCATTTGTTTATTTGTTTGTTTCAACTGTGGATTGGACCCTTGGCACTCAATCACTGAGCTACATCCCCTACCCTTTTTATTATTTTTATTTTTTATTTTGAGAAAGGGCCTTGCTAAATTGATTAGGGCCTCAGCCTCCCGAGTCTCTGGGATGACAGGCGTGAACCACCGTGCCCCGTGGTCAGTTACTTTGAACTGGAGGCCAGTTCTGCTTCCTAGTAGCTGGGTGGTTTGGCCTTCTTCCCCTGCCAGGTTGCTTTACTCTAAGCATGGCTGTCCTGGGGACATCCCTGTGCTTTTTATGCACTTAGTGCTCTGTCCCTGGGTGATACGGATGGGGCTGCAAATGCACCCCAGGCTGGCACACTCAGATGAGCACCCTCAGCCATCGTGTGGGGAGGACACTGCTAAATCTATTTTGCACATGGTGAAGCTACTAGGGAGGCAAAGACCTGGGCCTGCACCTGCCCCTCCTTGCATCTCCCACCTGTAGTGACCCACCCAGCCCCAGAGCAGCCAAAGACCCCTGTGCGTGTATATATGTATATGTGTGTGTGTGTGTGTGTGTGTGTGTCTATGTGCGTGAATACACACTTTGCCCTGAACCACATCCTCCCTGATTTTTTTCGTGAACTCTTGAGATACTCATAACATAGAAGGGACCAATGTGACCATTTTAAGAAGTGTGGTTCAGGGGAAAGAAACACACGCACGGTGTGGTGCTGCGTCAGCTCTGTGGTTTCTCCACTGAGTCATCACGCTGAGCAGAAATCTGTCCCCATTAGTGCCCTCCCTGACCCCTCCTGCCCTTGCCACATGGGTCCCCTGCCTATCTCTGTGGACTTTCCTATTCTGACCTTCCATTTGAGTGGGATCTCCCATGTGGCCTTCCTCGTCTGGCTTCTTTCCTGTGGCTTTTTAAACATGTCATACCTGGAAAAAGAAAAAGCACTCTCCTGAGTTGACCCCTAAGAATTTTTTTAGGGGCTGAGAAAGGGACATTTTATTCTCATGCAAAAGAGAAACCAGGGACTTTCTTGTCCTTTGCCTTTGGGTTTCCTTGCCTTTGAACAGGGGCTGGCGTAGCCACCTGGACCATTGTCACTCATTTACTGATAATCATTCAAGCCCATGGCTGCAGGGTAGCATCCAGCCAAACACAGGCCCCTTTATGCCTTCCTGGAGATCCTGCTGACCACCCCAGGACTTCAGCCTAGTGTAGGCATCCTGACTGGAGCTGATTTCTTCCCTTGAATGTCTTGGGCATTTAGACGCCTATGGACTCTGGGCACCCGTCTGGCCGTGCCCGCTCATCCTGTTTCCTTTAATGAATGCAAAGCATACAAGTGTGACTGGCTCCTCCAGGGCCCTGGGTGAACAACTACAAGACTCTGGTCCCCTCTTCTGCTTGGTCACCACAAGCCACACATGGCCTCCAAACGTGGCCTGTGGACATTGTGTGGCAACTGGCTTTAGGAGGCAGCTGGCTGTTGCAGCCTGCAATGGATGGTGCTGTTTTGACCACACTGAATTATTCTCAGCTGCTTAGTAACTGCAGGGTTCAGCCATGACTCCATTGTTTGCAAAAAAAAATATAGGCAGCCTTGATCTTTGGGCGAAAAGTAAAAGCATTTCCATACTTAAGTGAACTTAGGCTCAGTTTGCTCTGCATGTTATTTACAAGATGTGCTCGTCTGCCCTCAGCTTGGGTGGAGACTGTTGCTATGGACAGGGCAGTCCCTACCCTACCACTGAGATATGCAGGAAAGGTAAGTACACTGGGGGCCTCCATTTCCAGCCTCTCCTCATGAAAACATGAGACCGACCTAGTGTGGGAGACTTCCCAGCCCTGCCCAGCTGGCGGGGGTGAGGAAGGCCACTGAGTCGCTTTTAGGGACTTCTGTGCTGCAGGCCCCTTCCAGGTGGGGCCTGAGCACCCACCTCCTACGTGCAGCTGGGCGGCAGGCTGACCTGGCTGGAGCACCTCCTGGACACTCGCTTGCATTTTTCTGCACACATGATCAGAAGGGACCATCAAATGTGGACTGGGGTTGTGGCTCAGTGGTAGAGCACTTGCCTAGCATGTGTGAGGCATTGGGTTCGATTCTCAGAACCGCATGTAAATAAATGAATAAAATAAAGGTCCATCAACATCTAAAAAAATTAAAAAAAAAAAAAAGGGAGCATCAGACTCCTGTAGCCCGAGCACCGTGTTTTCCTATGCAGGGTTGACTATTAGCACCCTCTGTCTCAAGGGACAAGGATCCTAAATTGTAGTTTAAAACAGCAATGACAACGAACAAATGTCTTGTGTTTCATGAATCGCCTCAGAGCTTTAAGATGTTAAAAAAAGACAAACAAAAAACAAAAAGAAAAAAACCTTGGGGCCAAGAAATTGCCATGCCGCTTATGGTTTCCTCTGACAGTTTTTAACCAAGATTTAAATTGTTGGGAGACAGAGCTTGCTCCAGATCGCAATTCCCAGACCTCAGATTATTGTAGGTTTCAAATGTCATGGAAAAAAAGAAAATCTGCTAATCAAACAGGTGGAGGTGAACTGTCAAGCAACTGATTTCAGAACTGAAAGCGACTTATCACGGCCTTCGTGAGGACACCAGTAAACCAAACCTGCCATACTCCCACACAGTCCCTTTCTGCATCCGCTTCCTCCTGAACACAAGCTATAATCTCACTCCAAAGTCTGTAGTCACAGGCATGTGGTGTGTGGCCTGTAGGGCACACCCCTGTCCCAACAGCTTCTGGTCTCACCAACTTAGGGCTACACGCCCTGGCTGGAGCACTTTTGGCAGCCTGAGCCCCGCATGGCTTCCTGTGGTCTTGGGGTTAGTGGAAAGCCATAAGCTTTGCAATGTGTGGCACAGGCAGATCCTAGGGAGAGAAACCCCTGCCAACCTAGATCTAAAATAAATGCTTTTATTTTTCATTTTTAGCAGCTGACCTACATAGATAGCATCTAAGTATAGGCCAATTTCTCTCGCCAAAAAAGAAATAGTTAATCAGGCGATTGTGATTTTCATATAAAAGTCTCACGTTATTATTCTTTTCTTCCTTCTGGGTGTTAGGGATGGATAATGTCAGGAAGGGATGGTGTGAGAAGGGTGGAAAGCGCTGTTGAGTTTGCAAATGTTTAAAGATAAACTTGGCATTGGAGTTAGGAGTTTTGGCCTAAAATAGTGGAAGGCTGCTCTTCTTGGACGTTGTAGCATTTGTGCCAGGGTCTTTGATCAGCCCGCAATGGATGGTGCTGTTTTGACCACTCTGAATTATTCTCAGCTGCTTAGTAGCTGTAGGGTTCAGCCGTGACTCCATTGTTTGCAAAAATATAGGGAGCCTTGATCTTTGGGTGAAAAGTAAAAGCATTTTCATGTATTCTGCTGTCTACCAATAAAAAAAAAAAATAAAAAAAAATAAAAAATAAAAAATAAAAGCATTTTCATACTAAGTTAACTTAGGCTCAGTTTGCCCTGCATGTTATTTACAACATGTGGTTGGCTGTGAGTATTTTCAAATTGCATCTCCTGGCCGAAGGTGGGGTGTGAGCTGTGTGCACATGAATCCCCCATAATAGCAAGATGTCCAGGTCCCACATGCAGAAGCACCTTGGAGCTGGCTTTCTGCTCTCCCCTTCGTCTGTGATTCAGCTCACTAACTAGACCAGGGGAGTTTCCTGAGCCACATCCTGAGGAGAGCAGCTGCTGTGGCAAGGGGCAACCTTGACACCTTATTGTCCTCTACAGAGTCCCTGGAGAAGTGGGAGCGCCTGACTGTAGCCGATGCCTTGGAGCCTGTGCAGTTTGAAGATGGGGAGAAAATCGTGGTCCAAGGGGAACCCGGGGACGGCTTCTACATCATCACGGAGGTGAGTCCTGCTTGGTACCTCAAGGGCACTGTGTCAGTCACAGAGCTGCCTGAGTGCCCTGGAATTTATCCTGCTCTGACCCCCAAGTCCTCCCCACACCAAAGTCTACTTGGAGCTGGTGGGATGATAGCCTCGTGTGCCTGCCACAGACATAGGTGTGTCTCTCAAGAATGGTGGTGGAGACCAAGACCCACACGTGTGAATCACACTGCACGAAGCATGCACACAGTGCAGGTTGAGTTGGGGAGCCAGAGCGAGATGGGTGGAGCATGTCCCTGTCAAGCCCTGGTGTGGCCTGTGGTCTACATACAGCTTCACAACACATTCCTGCTGGGGGACCTGTGTATGTTCGGGGTACACCAGACCTCTGAATGATTTCTCACAATTGCACATGAATCTACAACGATCCCCAGATTTAAAGTTTAGTTTAAGAAGGACATGATGAGTTTCTCTGCCTGAAGTGTACGAGACACTTTGACCATGGCCCGCACAGTACCCTCAGCGGGACAAGCAGCCCGCTGGTTCCTCGGAGCCCCTGGGACATATGGGGGCTGGAATCTGTGGCCACCATCTTGGAAGCTGCCTGGGATTGGGTGTACCACTGTTATGAGGAGAGGATCTGTGAGACAAGCGGCTTGTACATGAACGTCTGCTGGGGGATGACCCTGGGAATTCTAGCTCCTGATCTGAGGTGCCTGTCCCCACAGGGGGATGCCCTAATGTGGGTGCACTAATGTGGGTGAGCTGCCCAGAGCTGGCCAGTGCATTGACCCTGGGGCTTCAGTCTACCCTGGAGGAAGCCCCAACCCTGGCAGGGGTGAATGCACCTTCTCACCCATGGAGAACTTTCCCGACTCTGCAGAGCCTGGTACTCGTGTCTCAAGTCCTACTTCCTGGTCCTCGAGGCGAGAGGAAGCCCCTRCTCACATTCTCTCTTGCCCATTCTCCAGCCCTCCAGAGAAGAGCAGGACTCACGCATGAGTTTGCATGGCCAGTATTGTTACCGTGGGGCTGTTGAGAGGAAATGGATGTGAGCAGAGAGCTCAACCCCCTGGATGTTCGGCCAATATGACCAAACTCAGGAGTCAGGTTCTTGGTTTGAAATAAGCAGAAGCAAAAATCATTTGCAGTGTTAAAGATGTGGGACCGTGTGTGGGGACACTCACTTGCTCTGTGGAACAGGCCATGAGGCAGAGACCTGGAAGCTTTTTCTCTTTTGGAGTGAGGCCCCTGGATGGGTCTAAGAGGGCCAGTGACCCCTGCAGAGCTCAACGGTATGGACGTGGGCCAGGGTGCTGGCGGAACACGAGCCAATGAGGCTGGCCTTCATCTCATTCCCTAGAGAGCTGCAGAAGGGCTCCTGGAGGGTTCCCAGGGGACAATCCTCAGGAGGTCCTCAGTCCTTAGGGTAGGGGACTCATTTGACAACAAAGTTTCTTTAAAAAGAAAAGAGGAGGAAAGAATAAAACCACAGGCAGAGCAAATTATGGCTCTGGTCGGCATTGAGGGCAGCCTCCGGTCAACAGTCCAGAGAGGGAAGTGGGCCCTTTTCTCACTCCAGCACCCACGGGATCCCACAGGTTCACACCTGCCTTCCCCAAGTGTGTCCCTGCCCTGTGTAGGCAGAGGCCGGCGCTTTGTCACCTCTACTGGGGTGAGTGGCCATTCCATGCGGGACTTCTCTGAGGCCACTGTTTCACTGTGGCAGGGACCTGGGGCAAGCATAGCCATTTCAAAAACAGTCCAGCAGAAAATCACTTGTAACCCTCAGTCATTGAGTAACACAGAGGACAATGAGTGGCGTCCTCACTGAGGGCTTGCGGAGGCTCTACCTATCACCTGCATGAGTTGTCCAGTGACCCTCTGTCACCAGACGGTCACTTCTTTTCCCACTGGCCAACTGCCTGAAGCCATGTCCTTCCCCCCATGATGTTCCATGAGTGCTCTGTCTCTGCATTTGTGGCCATGGTGTGACCTTATTCGGGGTGTCTTCAGGGACCCAACCTCTTCCAGTTAATAAATGAAGATTTGTGCTTAGCCATTAGCTTTCCACCCTCACCCCCAAATTTCAAAATATTAAAGATGGCTTCTGTTCTTGGTTGTTATTTCCCATAGAAAAGTGTACTTGGTTCCCTCCCTGTGTCTCTGGAATTGTCCCATGGGATGTGACAGGAATGGCCTGGGCAAGGCATTTAGGCTGGGGCACAAGAAGCTTGCCCATCCACAGCCTCTCAGGCTGGTTCTTGGGACCCTCTTCTTGGGGTCCAGCAGCCATGCTCTGGGGTCTTCCATAACAGGACTGTGCCCACAGCAGTCCTGAGTGCCCAATGCCAACAGCCACAAGGCATACTCTATGGTGGTCGCCCAGCCCAGCTACTGCTTGGTACAGCCTCCTGAGAGAGAGCCGCTCAGCCCAGCTCCAGGGCGGTAAGACAGAACAGCTCTCTGGGGTCACACTGTCCTTGCCTAGGCACTAGGATGCTCTGCTGGCCCCTGTGCCATGGGAAGAGGACAGTGTGAGGGAAGCCACAAATGTCTCTATTTGCATCCTCTGATAAGAAACTGGTGTTTATAGGCTGAACCTGGCCCAGGGGCAGATTTGCACTTGACCAGCATGGTGCTTGGTTAGACATTTGAATTTGTTGTTGATATCTTAAAATCAGATTTCTTATAAAAGTCTAGGTCTGTCATCTCTTTAGAAGTCTGTATCTGGCCATGCTGGACTCATCCTTGTCTGAGAGACAGACACCCCTTAGAAAGGGCTTCCTAACCCATCTCCATTCCCTTGGGCCCTCTCTTCTGGTCAGTGGTCTCCACAGTACCTGGGTCTTCAGAGTTTGCAGCCTCAGTTTGAATGGCCTTGAGACAGGAAGCGAGTGACTCTGACTACGGCAGACCATCATCCTTTATACCCTGTGGCTGAAGACTCTCCAGCTGAGCCCAAGACCCCATGCAGAAAAATCATACAAGTGTGTGTCACAGGTTGGAGTCACCGAGTGTATGAGTGCGTCTTCACAGGACATAAAGGAAGTCGGCTCTGGAAACAATAAGAGGCCGTCACTGAAACTATATGTCCTTAATCATGGTGCGGGGAGGTTAGGCTGTGCCAGGGTTTGGGCAGGGTCCTTATATAATCAACTATGTCTTTCTAGAGGCCCCTCCAAGTCTCCTCTGAGAGAGGAGCAGGGGGGTTCTCCATCTGCCCAGCACACAGGGTGGGCTTGAGCTGGCACATGGACACCTGGTACCTCAGACTCCACATCCAAGAGCAGCAGCATCTCACAAGCACAGCTCCCTACATTTCCTGCCCACTGCCCTCTCCCTCTGCCTCTGGTTGACCTGTGAGATTCTGCCCGTGGTGTTCTGCAATGCTCTGGCAGCCTCGGAGGGACCTACAAAGAGGTCTGCAAGAAGGCAACTAAGTAGTGGGGACCATCGCTGCTTCTGGGAGTGACTTCTGGGTTGTCAAGAATGCCCCACTGACTGGGCTTCTTCACCGCAACAAAATTGTGGCCTTTGGAGTGTAACCAAGGCCACGTCCTGCAACCCTGCAAGAGTAGGTGAAGTGGTTGCCTTGGCCACAAGGATATTTTCGGCGGGGGGGCGGGGGAGGGGGGTCCGCCTCCCTGTCTTCCTGGAGCAGCATGTGGAGAAGCCTCCTCGGCTCCTCCCTTCACCAAGTGGGGTGTCCCTGTCTGGCAGCCGCTCCTCACCTTGCTTAGTTGTCACATTTCTGTGTGTGTGCACTTCCAAGTGGAGTTCTTCTGTAAACCTGCCCTTGGCGGGTCACAGGTACCCTTCCAGTGAGGCCTCATCCTGCAGAGCTGGAATGTGGAGCCTCTCACCCATCTTTCCCCCTGCCAGGCTTGCTCTGTCCCCTGGGCTTCCTAATGGGTGGACCTTAGAGGCATTCGGGATATTACAGTGACTGCCTGTGCGTGCCTCGATCTGCTCTGCTAGAAGATGTGGTTGTTTGGGGGGCTGATTTCCACCATGTGTGGGCAAATCTACAGGAAACTGGCCCCTGGGAACAAAGCTTTGCCACAGAGCCAGTTTTTTTGGAGGTGATTGGAAAGGGGAGCAGGAAGACAGGATTCCTAGCCTACATGATCCTGAGGGTCTCTGCAGGGGTGCTCCCCACCAGACAGAGGCATCTCTCTTGTCTTCCAGCTCTGCGCACACACATGGGCTGTCTGAGCAAATGGATCTGCCAACCCCTCAGACAACTGACCCCAGTACTCTTGGAGAACATGCTCAACAGACAGTGGCAGAACTGACCCTGTTCGAGTTTGCCTGTGTGAACCTGGAGGTGCAGACTCAAAGACACAGCACCAGTGGATAGGGCCGGCCCTGCGGCTCCCAGGCCATGCTTCTGTCTCTGCATACTGAAGCTGGGGCCACCCTGGGCCAGGGAGCCTCAAGGTGGGACACAGTGCTGGAGGGATAGCATTGGAACTGCAGGGACTGTCCCTGTTTGTCTGCCAAGATGCATGCTCGACCTGTCTCCCCAGGAGAGGTGCATGGGGGCCTGGCAAGGAGGGCAGTCTAGGTCCAAGACACGCTAGGTAGCGGGAGGCTGAGGCTGTCCCGCTGCTCCGTGACTTCATCAGAATTCGCATCTCCAACTGCGCTCTCCAGGAAAACAGAGGAGGATTTGGGAAGGGGCTCACGTTCCCGCTGTGCATTCCTCAATTTGGGCCTGAGACCTTGGAGCGCCTGGAGGCAGCTGGGCCCAGAGCTGGTTCCCCATAAAATCCTGAGGCTGAAATTCCCCAGCTCGCTCCCAGCCAGAGGCCTGGGAGGCGTTGCCATAGAAACACTAGATTGGATTTATCTCCTCACTTAGCAAATTAATTTTATGAATGTCCACAATGTTGAAGCAACTGCAAAACAACACATTTCACAGCCGCCCTCAGGCCTGGGAACGCTCTACTCGCCAGAGCCCAGCCCCCTCCACACTCCCCGAAAGGCAGATTGTTCAGAATCCAGAGGTCACTCTG